TCCTCCATCCTGTCCCCATCCTCCATCCTGTCCCCCTGTCCTCCATCCTGTCCCCTTGTCCTCCATCCTGTCCCCCTTTCCTCCATCCTGTGCCACTCTTTTCATAGGTCATCCACCTGAACAACGAGCGATACATGGCCGCCATCATCTTGAGCGAGCAAGAATGCCAAGAGCAGCTCAAAGGGAGCAACAAGAGCTGTAACGGTGAGTAGAGCAGGCGGTGGAGGCCTGGGGAGATGGAGCCCCCCTAAACCCAAGCCTTCCAATATCTGAATCCCCTGTGTCCTTAGCTTTGGTCTCAACCCTGAGCCAGAAGGCTAAGTCCCTGGAGGAAAACCTGGCGAAGGAGAAGGGCACATGCACCAAAGAAAAGGAGATGCTGACGTTGGGCAAGCGGGCGGCGGAGGACCAGCTGATGGAGTGCAGGAAGAGCCAGGTGCAGCTGCAGCAGGAGCAGCGCATCTCCGATGAGCGTGTGCGCAAGGTGGAGGTGATGTGCCTGCGCTTCGACAAGGAGAAGTTCGAGCAGGAGCTGCGCACCCTCTGGAGGGATTCCATCATCCCACGCACGCTGGACAGCATCAGCTACCCCTACCATCCGCTCGGCTCGGACGTGGTCTCCATCCGCAGGTCCTGTGACTACCTGCCCACTCTCATGAGCACCAAGGTGGAGGAGCTGGCCCGCAGCCTGCGAGTGGACATCGAGCAAGTGGCCCGAGAGAACGCGGAGCTCAAGCGCCAAAAGCTGGAGATGGAGCGGAACCTGCAGGCCCTTCAGGAGGCCAAGGAGAAGGTGGAGAAGGAGGCCCAGGCCCGGGAGTCCACGATGCAAACCGACCATTCCCGGCAGATGCAGGCCTTGACGGAGGAGAGGACAGCAATGCGCAAGGAACGGGACGGCCTGACCAAGGAACTGGAGGAGAGGAAGAAGGAGATCGAGCAGCTCCAGATGAAGCTGGCCGTGAGTGCCTCATCCCTGGACACCTGCATCAAGGCCAAGGTGGGCTGGTGGGTGGAGGAGGCTTGGGTTTGGAGGCCAAAGTGGTAGTGATGTTGAACTTGGGTTTGAGATTGGCTCCCATGTCTACACTAGGCGAATTAGGACTTGCTGGTGAGTTTCACTGGTGTAAGGATCAGGGTAGAGTTTGGAATGGGATTGTGAAATGGGGTTGAGACTGAATTTATAGGCAGGGTGGCTGTTGGGTCTGGAGTTGGGTGAAGGGGTGGATGTAGGACGTGGGCTACCGAATTGGGCTGAGTTTCGGCAGCAAGGATAGGTATAAAGTTGAGTGTGGCATGCTGTGGAGTCTAGAGTTTGAGTGTTACAGTCATGTGCTTCCATTTTAAGTGTCTTGCTGGTTTCTGGTTTGGGATGGGGTTTGGAATTAGGAGCCTAACTGAGAAAGAGGAAGACTTGAGGCTAGGGTTGATTTTCAAGTTGTTGTTTTTGTTGTGTGCCATTGAGGCAGAACCAACCTATAGCTGACCCTCCAGCAGGTTTTCAGAAGCAGTTAATCACATAGGACGAGACTGCGAGCAGATTCAAACTGTGTGCTTTCTGGATTGCAGCTCAGCTTCTTACCACTAGGCCACCAGAGCTCCCTGTAAGATGGGTGGTGAGCCTCAAATTGGTTTAGGATTCATCTAGGATTGAAGTTAGGATTGAAGCAGGAGTCAGAGTTGACATGTCTTTGTGCTGAAAGTTTTGGGGATGGCATTACTGGGGCTGTTGGCCAGTGGGCAGAGCGCCTGGCCAAAGCTCCTGGTGTCCCCTTTCCAGCTTCTCTTGGCCCCTCCAGCTTCTCTCCTCTTGCATTGACCAAGGTGAGGACCTTCCTTTCTGCCCATTGTCCAACTCCGCTGCCCAGTGACACCTCACCTTTGGCAATTCCGTCACGTCATATTGGTGTCAGACATCCCCCACCCCAGCAGCGTCAGGGCGTGTATTCAGTGCCCCTCCACCCCTAGCAACACTGCCAGCACTGAGTTGGGATTTGGTACAACAGTGGGGTTAGGGACAAACTTAAAGCAAGTCTAGAGTCAGAGTCAGGTGTCTGGGTGGTACAAACAGTTAAATTCTCAGTAACTGCTAGAAGGTTACCAGTTCAAACCCATCCAGGAGCTTCTTGAAAGACAGGCCTGGAATCTGCTTCCCAAAGGGCACAGACCTGCAAACCTCTGGAGCAGTTCTATTCCACAAACATGGGTCACCCTGAGCCAGAACAAACCACGGCAGCGAGCAAGGCTGAGGGTTAGAGCAGTCACAGAAGTGAAAGCGTTCAGTGACAGCCTCGTTAGACTACGGTGAGTTGGTGACCATTGTGTCTGGAACTGGGTTAGGCTCAGATTAGGGTTCTCTGTGGCTTTTAGGCTTGGAGCTGGGGTGGAGTTAGCATTTGGACAGTAAGAAAAAGTTCCAGGTTGAGTCCAGGTTGCGTGCAGGGAGGCAGACCTAGGGTTAGGTGAAGGAGGAACCTAGGATTCCCTTTGCTGTGGAACTGGCTTAAGTTTCAGCATTTAGACTGGAGCTGAGTGTCGAGTAGGTGTGGGTAGCTGGTGGGAATAGAGGTGGTTAGTGATCTGTAGCTAAAACTGAACTTGGGATTCCACTGGCTGTAGAATTGGGATTGGCATTGACATTGACAATCCCCAGACTATTGGGAGAGAGAGAATAAACAAGGCATGATTGTAAAAATAGCCATGAGCCCACAATTATTGGGTTCTTACTATGATCTTAGGGAGCTCTGGTGCCTAGAGGTAAGGAGCTGTGCTGCCAACCCAGAGTCACTCAGTTCAAATCCACCAGCTGCTCCATGGGAGAAAGGTAGACAATTTCCCATTCTATTTTGTTGTTGTTGTTGTTGTGCACCATAGTCAGAACCAACCCAAAGCTGACCCTCCGGTGGGTTTTCAGAGGCAGTTAATTGCACAGGAGGAGATCGCCCATCCTTCTCCTGCACCCGTGCGATTTACTGCCTCTGAAAACCATCTAGAGGGTCAGCTAGGGGTCACTTCTGACTTGATGGTGCACAACAATGATGATCTTGGGGCATAAGCATCGTACTCAATGATTTAAGAGCTACACTTGGTTTTAGGGTCTGAGGTTGGAGTTGGGATATTTGAGTTGAAGGATTGAGGGACGTTGGGTTAGGGCTGGGTGCACTGGGCACCCGTCTGGTCAAGGATGGTCCTAGAGTAGAGCGTGTATGGGTGGTAGTCTTGCGTGGAGCTCGGTTGAGGTGGTAGAATGACTTGTGGGTCCAGGGCTGCTTTGAGGTTCACATCTGGGTTCCGTGGAACATTGTCTTTAAAATGGGGTAGATTTAGGGGTTGAGTTGGGTCAAGACTGAGGATAGATTAAGGTTGGAATTGGTTTGGGGTTTATATTCATGTAGAGGTTGGGGTGTAATGTGGGAGCCGGGGTAAGTGGGTGTCGGACAACTGTCTTCAGGCGCACATGCCCAAGGCTGGGACTTAGGGGAAGTAGTTGGGCCTTGGCTTTTCACATTGGGTGAGTCCGGGAGAAAATGGAATGTTTCTTGGAGAACATTCCATCGAGCCAGAATGGAACCAGAGTGTTCCATGGAGGCAAAAATGGTGAAGCTTTGTCTCACAGATTTTAGACATGTTAAAAGAGACTATTCCTTGGGAAGGGACATCATGCACAGAAAGGTGGAGGGTCAGCAAAGGAGAGGAAGGCCTTCAACAAGATGGATTGATGCGGTGTCTGCATCCCCACATGTGTCAAGGATGATAAGGCACTGGCTAGAACAGAGTTCAGATCTGTTGTTCACAGGGTCTCTATGAGTCGTCATACTCCACTTGACAGCACCTAACAATAAGGGGAAATGGCTGGGGTTATGGCTAGAGATAACGATACGGGCAAGCCGGGATTGTGCCGGCATTCGGTTTAGGTTGGGGCTGGATTCCAAGGGAAGCTGTTTTAAAGTTTGAGATTTAGGGATATGATTGGCTCAGGATGGGCTTGGGTTTTAGTTTGGAGGAATCGGACGCTGGATTGAAGGCTGGAGGTGGATTTGTGTTCAGAGCAGGCTGGCTAGATCACACTGATTGACACCCCTGGGGTTGTGGACCATGAGAGGTTGTGATGGGGACTGAGGTCAAGTCTACCTGCAGAGTCTAGTTCAGAGCTGTCAGCGGCAGCCAGCTCTCAGAGCCTCCGAGTAATCTGAGGGTTCAAGGTGGGTGCAGGCATGTCTCTGCTGATCTATGTTGTGTATCCTTCGTAACTGTCTGTCTGCCCTGGAAACAGTCCGACTGGCACCGAGGGGCAGGAGTCTTCTGGGATTTTAGCTCATGGGCCCTTTCTAATCAGCTTCCTCCATCTTTCTTCCCACAGACACAAGGTCCCTTAACTGTACCGAAAACAGTGGTCTCTGCCCCCAGCAATCCACCCATCGGTGAGTGAGACAGGGGAAACCGGAGTGAGGTGAGGTTTTCCCGTCCTGGATCCACCCAGCCCAACTGTCCTAGGCTGCCAGCCTCCCCGCCCAGGAGCAGGGGCTGCCTGGCCCTGACTCTTCCCTCTGTCACTCTGCAGACCCAGCCAGCCTGGAGGAATTCAAGAAGAAGATCCTGGAGTCCCAGCGAACCTCTGTCCGCACTGTGGTGGCCCCATCCAGGTGAGGTGCTTGGCAGCCTCCGGGCTGCAGGTGAGGTGGGGACCCCGGCTGAGGGTGGGAGGAAGCAGATCTCACTCTTATTCTTTCCCTGATGGTGTGTCTGTGTAGACACAGCCTCATGCTGGGCCCGGGAGCACAGAAACAGCCCAGACACAAAGATTTCATTCTCACAAAACTCCTGAAGCACTGGACACAGTTTTACAGGGGAGATAAAGCAGACAGAGTGGAGGTGGCTAAAAATCTGTATGAGCCTCCCTGCTCCCCACACACTTTTTTTTTCTTTACCAAAGAGAATTTCTTTTCTTACAGTTTTGTTGTTGTTAGGTGCAGTCGAGCTGAGTCCAATTCACAGCAACCTTATGAACAACAGACCTGAACCCTGTCCCCTCCTGTGTCCTCATCACCTCTGACACACTTGAACCCACTGCTGCAGTCACCATGTCAATCTGTCTCATTGAGGGTCTTCCTCTCTTTCACTGACCTTCTAAGCATGATAATCCCTCTCCAAGGGACATAATCGTACGGTGTAGGAGGCTGCTACCATTGTTACGTGACACTGAGTCAGAACCAACCCATAGCTGACCCTCCAGAAGATTTTCAGAGGCAGTGAGTCTTGTAGAAGTTGACTGTCCGTCTTCCCCCTGCGGAGCAGCTGGAGGATTCGAACCGCATACAGTTGCCTTGGCAGCACCATTCCTTACCACTCAGCTACCAGAGCTAGAAAGAGCTGCAAGTCCAAATTCAGGATGCCAGCTCTAAGGGTAGGTTTTCTCAGTCTGTGGATTCTGAAGGAAGGTCCTTGTCCCCTTTCAACCACTGTGGACCTGATGTGACTTTGAGATCATTGCATGTCATCGCCTCCCAATGCCACAGAGGTTCCCAGCACAGGGACCTGGGTCCAAGACTGCGCTCTGCTCCTGGTTCCTCTTTCTTAGTTATTACTGAGCTCGCCCCCTTCTTCCCACAACTTGCTTCTCTTCTCTCTCTTTTTAAAATCTCCCCCCCCACCCCGCTTCAATTTTGCATTGTGATTTGAGTGAAAGCTGGCAGAGCAGACTGGTATTCCGTTCAACCACGGCTCGGTGTTTTGTTTTATGACGTTGCTCTCAGGCCCCATGGTGGATCAGCAGTCTTCCCATTCCCTCTCTGTGATTCCTCTTTCCTTTCATCCTTCCATCATCTCCCTTTCTGGCTTCTGAGCTTTGTCCCTGGGAAAACACTGTCCTTGTGGTCCTGTGTGGTCGGTTGCTCTAAGGGCTGAGCACGTCCCTGGTGTTATTGTTCCGTAACAATATTGTTCCCCTTTTGGGAACGTCTGTCGTCTGACCAAATGTTGTGCCACAGGGGTGAGTTCTGGTCTGCGCTCACAGGAAGGCTGAGGGCCACAGTCTTGGAGGTCCATCCAGGTCTCCATCAGACCAGGAAGCCTGGCTATTACAGTGATTTTGAGTTTTGTTCCACATCTAATCGCCTGCTTGCTCCAGGCACCTCTCCCATGATGCCTTTCAGAGTGGTCAGCAGTGGTAGCCAGGTCCCTAGGTCCTCTGGTCTCAGGCAGGGTCTTGGTATTTGGGCCATTTGTAAAGCAGTTGTGGGTCATTATTGTCAGGTGCCATCAAGTGGAGTTCAACTCATAGGGACCCTATGAACAGCCAGCCTGGACCCTGTCCTATCCTGTACCATGCTCATAACCTCCGACACACTGGAGCCCATTGCTGGATCGCCGTGTCAATCCATCTCATTGGGGGTCTTCCCCTCTTTCTCTGACCCTCCATCTCACTCTGATTCATGACGACCCCATGTGCGGCAGATGTACCTCGGAAGAAAGGGCTGGGGATCTACTCCCCAAAACACAGCCATTGAAAATCCTCTGGAGCTCGTTCCCACTCTGACATGCACGGGGATCATCATGAAAAAGAGTCAGCTTGGTGGCAGCCGGGTTGTTTTGGGGTTTGATTTTTTTGGTTTGTTTTCTTTTTGGGATGAGGAAGGTTTAATAGACCTTAGCCTGCTACAAAGAGGTAAACCAGTTAAGGCTGATCCACAGAGGTCTGTCTGGCTCACTGGTGGGACAGAAGCCCAGAAAACATAGCCAGGAGTGCAGACAAGAGAGAGTTTCGGATTCTAGGCAGTAGAAACAGCATGTGCAAAGGTCCTGCGGTCGCTCTGGGGTGGGGAGGGTTTGAAGACCAGCCAGAAGTGGATGTAGCTGAAAAAGAGGGAGCAATGTCCGAGAGTAACCCCTGCCTCACCAGCCTCCCTCCTCCGTTCCCACCTGTACAAAAACAAAGGTCTTGAGGTCAAGGGTATGGAAATGCTGCTTCAAGTGTAGAAAACAAGGCTGGGGCCTCTGTGGATCCACCCAGGGCACCTGGCACACGCTCAGGCCATGACCTGATGCCCTGTCCCTCATCTTACCCTGGGTCGATGACGCAGAGAGAGCACCCTGTGCGTCATGGGGACGATGATGCAGACTGATGTCCCGAGAACAGCGCGTGCTCCTCAGGGGTGGCAGCTGTTGTTCAGGATGCTGCTGGCCCCGGGGACTGGGGACAATCACTGCCACTTCAGGTTAGCACCTCAGGGAGGTGCAGAACTGTAAGCCAGATCTTTTAGACCCCAAAACCTATGCCTTCAGCTGTTTCACCTCCAATTATCAACCTGGCTTTATGGCAGCTGCAGGGAGACAAGCACAGGCCTTTAGGCCAGATATCCAAAGGCTTGTGTCAACTCCCCAGGAGGCTCCATGTCCGCCATGCTGCTTCTTACACATTCCCCAAGACGGGGAGCTCATTCTCTTAAAGAACTGCCCTCTTATTCAGTGGGAGTCTCTACACCCAAACTCACCACACTTGGACTTACATACATCCTGCTGTGGGGAGCACACCTTCTTATAAAACTGTCCTCCAACTATGAACAGCTCTTCTCAAAGATAGCCCACAAGTAGGGAACTGAGAGGGTCCGGAAAAGACCCCACCCCCAAAACAAACAGGACTTCCCTCTCTCTGTCTTGGCTCAAAGCCCTCACATCGAGGAAGGAGGTTCTATTATTATCCCCACTTCTCAAAGGAGGAAACTGAGGCCCCAGGGAGGTGACCAGTCTGGGGTCATGTGGCGGCAGCAGCGAGTCAAGCCGGGCTCCCAGCCCAGGCCTGTCCGGGTCCCAGCTGAGAACCGGGGAAGCACTTGACATTGTTTACCCCAGTTGACGTCCCCCTGCTGAAAAAACAATGCCCACTCTGGCCTGGGTCCCACCTGGCGTTCTCTGCAGGGTTGCAGGAAGGGCCGCTGGCCCGCTCAGCTCCAGTTGCGTGTGACAGACAAACGTCCAGGGAGGGGGAGACGGGCTACGCGTGCATCCATCGTCTGTAGGTTCAAGTTCAGACTCAGCACTTGCTGGACCACCTGAGCTGAGTCACTGTCCCTTGAATCACAATAGCCAGATTTTAGATGCAATCCTGGTGCCAGGTTGTGGTGTATTGTAGAGTCAGAACCGACCCATAGCTGACCCGCCAGTGGGTTTTCAGAGGCAGCTGGTGGCCTCGAACCACGTTCCTTTGGAATTGCAGCACAGCTTCTTGCCACTAGGCTGGCTGCCTGGAGACACAGTGTGTAACATATTGAGTTAGCTGTTATGTTATGTTAGCTGTTCTGTGGGAAAGAGATGAGCGAGTTTACCTCCTTCCATAAAGATTTACAGCCTCAGGAACTTGGTGGAGGGTCGCTGTGAGTCAGCACTGGCTCAGTGGCAGGGGTTTGGTTTGGGTCCCAAGCCCAGCATCAGCCACCCTGTCACACTGCTTCTCTATTTTCGGACCTTTTGGGGCAATGTCGCTGGTGCTAACTCATCCACGATGCTCCCCGGACACTGGAAAATCTCCTGTGGTGAAAACAAGACCAGACGTGGGCTCAGCGCCGGCATGACTGTCAAAAGAGTTCAGTGTCTTGCAATTTATGAACTATTTTCATCTCATTTGCTCTTGGGGACAGTGCACCAGTGTCCTAGGTTTAGTAAGGCAGGATGTACTTTGAGAAAAAAAAATTGAAGTTAAAGAAGCCCATTGATACAAGGGAGCCTCTGATGGCCCAGTGGTAGGAAGCTCTGCTGCAATCCCGAAGGCGCATGGTTCAAATCCACCAGCTGCTCTGTGGAGGGAAGATAGGCAGTCTCCTCCCGTGCTATTAACTGCCTCTGAAAACCCACTGGAGAGTCAGCTATAGGTTGGTGCGGACTCAACGGTACACAACAACAACAGTGTCAAGGGAGCTCTGGTGGCCTAGTGGTAAGAAGCTGCATTGCAGCCCTGAAGGTACACAGTTTTAATCCACCAGCTGCTTCATGGGAGAAAGATGAACATTCTCCTCCCATACAACTTACAGCCTCTGAAGACTTGCTGGAGGGTCAGCTATGAGTTCACACTACACAGTACATAACAACATAACACTGATATAAAAGACCAAGAATCTGTAGTCCACAGAGTCATTGTGAGTCATACTCAACTCAACAGCATCTAACAACAGCAACATCAACAAACAGTCCCTGAAGCCTGATGTCTGAACAACCCTGATAGTTACAAACCCATGCCATCAGGACAACTCTATTAAAAATTTGAGGTATATACAGGGCTTGTAATGGCCAACGGGGGCTCGTTTGCAATGTACATAAAAACGTTTCATTATTATTTCTGTATTGTTGTTGTTGTTGTTGATTGCCATGGAGTCGAGGTCAACTCATAGCGACTTTACAAACAAAAGACCTAATGCCTTTCCATACCTATCATCATTTCTCCAAGTTCATAGAGTTTCCAGAGGCGTGGGGTTTAGGAAGTGGATGCCTCTCCTGCTTCCTAGCCTATTTTACAACTGGGAGCTCCACCAAACGCAGTCCACAATGGGAAACCATTCTGGTATTTGATATCCCCATGGCACACGATTCAGCATCATAGCAAACCCAGGTTACCTCATATAGCACATTGACAAAGAGTGATGTGCAAAGTGGAAGAG